AGAGCAGCGCCGGAGCCAAGAACCTGCCTTTCCCAACTCCGAAATAAGTCTTACTCGTTTCTTAACGCGACAGAAGGTCCAGCAGCTCCTGTCAGAAGAGCCGTCAGGCCTGGGATGGGCTATTCCGTCCCACTCGACAGGTTCAGCAGCAAGTCGGTCCAAAGCCTCTGTATTATTTTGGCAAAATAAAAAAAGTTGCAGCCCGGGCGTAACGAGTCCGTGCAGCAGGCATTAGTTACATCGGTAAAAGAGATTTCCTATAGGCTGAAATAACCAGGGTTTTTTTAGTCTTAGGTGTGCTACAGGAGGAAGAATGCTTTCTTCCCAAACGTTCAATGAATTAGGAGAAGGGGGGTAGAAAGCCGTTGGTGAAGAATAATTGCAGCACAAACACCAACATCTTAAAAGAACGTTTTGTTGCCAAACTGTTCAACTCTCCGAAATCAAGTTGCCAGCATTATGACCGGCTATCTGTCAAGAGCAGGGTTCTGTTTAGCCTTAACTCTTAAGAGTCTTATTTTCCTAACTAACATACTCCAGCACCCTGCTCGTTCTAGTGGCCCTTCTCCATGCTTGCTGCTGTCTGAACACATCTTTATTGACCACAGGTAGCTGAAGTTGTCCACTAGAACTCCCCAATACACCACTATTGCAGAGGACAGCGCATCAGTGATGTGTAACATCTTTACAAAATTCTTGACTAAGAGCATCTTTCCTGGCGTATGCAAGGGTTTCCATATGCCTTTTCCACAACCACCTGATCGTAGCAAATTTCATTAGTTGCAACTTGTATCACCCAAACTTGGAACTCAGTATTTGGAAATCACAAAATACTCAGGATGAAACTGTATTCAATAAAATCCTTTCAGGTACTTTCAAATGTTGAGTTCTCCCTACTTGCTATTCTGTGCCTCGTTTTATTAACACCCCCAAACCTCCATCACCTGCAGATTTCATTGGCGAACTAAACTACTAACCTCAGCATGCCTGGCAGCCCGCCACATTGTTTCTCCCTTTCAGATAGCTCCTCAGTCACTGTACACACACTCTCTTTTCCTGTATAAAGTCCTAACTTTGTGTGTGGTACCTCAGCAAATGCTTTGCCAAACTCCCAAAAGACCCCCAAAGTCTCCTGGGGGGTAAGCCTACCAAAGACAGATAAATACGTCAGAAGATTTATTTGAGACTAAATCTACTTTGCCTTTTGTTCTAGGTAGTTGCATGGGAATTTTTTTTTATCTTCAAATTATATTATGAAGTCGCACAAATACTGAGGTTCAGATTAATGGGGTTTCATTGCTTAGCCTATTTTTTTTCCTCATTCTGCTTTCTTTAATATTATTCTTAATAGATAAATGGTTGGGGCTGCAATGCATTAATTTTTCCATTTAAGAGTTCAAATGATATTGCTAGACCAGCTAAGATGACACAGAAGAGGATGGAAAATGATAATTAGATTTCTGCATATATCTGGGTCTTAGGAGGTAATTACAGTACTCTAAGTCATCACATACCAGCCCAGTTATATAATCCTGTTTTGTTTGTTAAACTTGTTTGAGAGCATTTGACAAGCTCACTTGCTTTCTTAGTCATCTGTATCACGCCCAAAGAAACAAGCCTTTGAAACACATACACACACACACTCATAGAGGTGTAATACATGTTACACCTGCCCTCCCTTGATCTCCCATTAATATCATCTTTTTGTCTGTCAGCAGGGGGATGAGTATGAAGTCAGTCACAGGAGTAAAAGAAATGAGAATAAAACCCAGATAGCTGTACATGGGCTTTTTCGTCCAGAGAATTTTCTTCTTCCCTGCCACCCTTTCCTAACTCCCTCTGGTCTAATCCCTGAAACAAGAAGCCTCTTATTTTATAGTTCTAAGAACTGTCTAGTCAATACCAACATAGATTTCCCCTTTCACAATTAATAATACAAGGTATAAGAAAAGTTACAGGCTTAAAGGAAAGACCATACTATTAGAATACAATCAAGGCATAAAGTTAGGCATCTCTTCCGGGCTACTGTACCCGTTTCTCCATTAGGCAGGCAGAAAGTAACAATTCCTTTCCTCCATAATGGAATCTAATAGAGGTTTCTGAAACTTCTAGACCTTTACATAGAAGACACCATAGAAGCAAATAGTGCTTATTTCTAGTGGGGTAAGGGAAGGTACTCAAGCAAGAGAATGGTGGGAAAATACCTTTGTCACAATTGGACAGCAACCCTACTCCTTCCATGAAAACTCACAAGCCTCCTTTATCCTTACTTGGAAAGAAATACCTACTTTTGACCTTTACATAAATTCTGATCAAGAAAGTTTAAAACGCATGTGCATTAGTACCAGCCAGACAGGTGGTGAATTTTGCCTTTATTATGGTTTGGTTAATGAACCTTAGGTCTGCATATGAAATTCTGCTTCTATTCTTTTTTTTGTCTGATGAGTTTTACTTACTCAAAGTGATACCTATCCTCCCAAAAGCTTAGCAACATTACGAAGTGCATTAGTGCTCACTAATGGCTAACAACTTTGATTCCAAACAGGTGTTACCCCAGTTCTAGATTTCCTTTTCCACTTTGGGCACTCATCTGTTATGCATCCCCTGATCAGATACATGTACCTGAACTTACTTAGTTATTTCCCCTGCAAACAAGCAGAAGAGAAAAATAGGCTTTAGGAAAAATGGGCTCAGACATGGGTACACCATTTGCTTTCTGATATTTGCAAAACAAATGTTGATTTCTACAGTTAAAGATATTGCACATTAGATCGTTATTCCCTTGGCTGGGAGTTGGGTCATGATTTTTTCATCAAATCTAACCATGTTATCACTGTAGCTCCAGTACAGTCCATGCAAATTTTGAAACAGATTCTAGACCTACTCACAGAATACCAGAATCAGGATTAAATACATCTAATAAAAAAAATCTGCTTCCTATTCTTTCCCCTGCCTTCATGCAACATTACTTCTGCTGTGCTTAACGACTCTGGTTAACAGTACCACAGACTAGCTGGCAAGAAGTTAATACTGTAACAGCACTTCTTAGGGAGGAAGAGTTAGTATACAGATAGCAACATTTGTTTCAGCAATAGATGGTAAAAAGGTGGTAAGTGGAAGAAAAGCACATTCTTTCCCTACCCTTGTATTTTCAACATACAATCTTAGAATACAAGAGTTCATGAAAAAAAGTTCCCACGGGTATATATGCACCACTGGTTTAATTTGAATTCACAGCAGCTTCTAACTTACCTTGTGGCACTTCCCCCATGCCCCCCAAACTTGCACACACACCACAGAGTCCACTTTGAATCCGATAAATACTTGTGTGAAATAATCAAGAAAAGACCCTCCATTCAATAGATCCACCCTGTTTTCAGTCCCACTATTAAAGTAGGTCACCTATATCAACATTCTTGATGCTTTGCTGCATTTCTTTCTTCATTAAAGAGGGGCTTGAGATTGCCCCGTGCTGTACCCAGAGAAAAGTAACCACAACACTGCTATTGGTACGCTTGGGATACGCAGGATGTTTTCCCCTCTTCCTTAGTAAATAACTTACTCTTTAGAATCTCATATTACATGGTTAGGACAGATATTTGCACCTGCCCAACAAAGCCCTAACCTCTGGAAAACTGGAAGCAAGCAAAGTAAAGAATAGAGTATTTGTGTAAAAGATGACAGCAACAGAATCACGGTTTAGACCATCAATATTAAACAAGTTGAAAGCTGTATCTAAAACAGAACAGTTTGTACACTTTCTGAAATGCTGAATATTCAGGCAAGAAAAAAAGTTGATCAAAGCCACTGAGGAAACCAGACATTCTTCCCACCGTTGCTCACTGTTTCTGAAATCACTTCACATGGTAAAGAGCTCCAAAGTCACAAAGCTCAAGCTAAAATGAGTACAGTTCAGTTAGGACTCACCAGAAATATCATCACTGTTACAATCAGAAATTGGTTCATGGTACTGTCCATGTTGTTTGAACTGAATTAGCCCAGCATTACTGGAAGCCTGCCTTTCCAGAATGCTGCCAGACCCGTCCAACAAAAACAACCCAAGAAGCCCTAGCTAGCTCTCCCAATATAATGTCAATCCATTGATATCTTCTGCCAACCACCACCACTGGGTACTTGGAAAGGGAGACTGATGTACAGTTGCTGTGTTTCTGACACTTACCAAGAGCCTAACTCCAAATATGTAATTTGTTTGGTTTTGTTTCCCAATGATGTCTTCCTGAAACCCATTCTTTTAAGCTGACATCTGTTCCTTCACTGGATTGCATTACATGAAATGCGTGTGTATTAACCAATTACTCACACA